GTTGGCTGGAGTTTCCCGGTCGGTGCAGAGTCTTTTTTCGCGGAGCCTCCATTCGCCTTGGCGATTTCCCCTGATGCCTGCCGGTTGTGACGTTTTATATTCGCGCCATCATTTTCTCCTTTTTACACCCGCTCCGAAGTCGCCACGTCGTCGCCTTTTCCTGCTTTTCGGATCTTTATGCGATCACCAGGTCGTTCAGCGGCTACTGGCGATTCCCGTTTTTTTACTTCGGGGGTGCTCCACTGCTACTGCCCTGCATTGCCGCACGTGCCCTTTTCATTTTGTAGCACGAAAAAATCTGATGCCCTGCTGTGCGGCAAAATTCGCATTTTGTCGGCAGCTGCTTCGCGTCGTATTTGTCGATGTCCATCGGTTCGGCGAGCGTGGAGGGTGCCGATCGCTCCGTGTCGAATGTACGGTTCGGCGTGAAGCGTGGTGTTTTAGGTTGACCTCGAGTCAATGCGTCGTATCACTCGGCAGCACGCACAATGTTGTGGTAACTGCTGTAATTTGTTGCGATGACCTGTCGGCGAATCTCCAATTTTAACCCTTCTGTGTACGCCTTGATTTTTTCGCCTTCGGTCAGGTCCGTGATGCGGTTGAGCAGTAGCTCCATCTGCTGCGTGTACTGTCCTACACTACTGTAATGTTTGTGACGGTGTATCTGCTGCCGCGCCATGTAGGTCCTATTAATGGGTTCGAAACGTTCCATGAGGTCTGGCCGAAACTGCTGCCACGTTTTCTCCCAGCGGGCCACGTCAGTGTAGTAAATCCACTCTAATGCCGTCCACGTAACAATGTCGCTGCAAGCCGAATCTGTGTTGCGTCGTGTTGCAGGGTCGAACAACCAATGGCCTCGAAAAAAATTTCGAGGGTCGCCACGAATCGTCGAACGCCAGATCCTTTCGCGCTGGGATCAAACGCTTCGGGGAGTCTCGGGCGTGCTGCTTCGAGGTTCGACGACGATGGTGCCATCGGTCCGTGAAATGTCGGTGTCGCCACTACTGCTGGTGATGTCGCTGCTACGTTCACTGCTGCTGCGGTGGCGGCTCCTGGTTGGTGTGGCAGAAGGGCCTCGAGTCGTCGGATCGCCGCATGCGCCTGCTCCATGTCGGTGCAGAGGCTTGAGATGTCGCTCGTCGTCGCGTAATTTTCGCCTTGGCCCTCCATGCTTGACATTGCGCGTTCAAAAAAGCCGAAACGGGGGGGAGCGAAAAACACGGAACCGGTTTTACGTACCTGAACTCGGTGTTTAACAGGCGTCGCCCCCCGCGGTTTTTGAAGACTCGGTTTTAGCGGTCAAAACACTTTCGCGTGTAAACGGGCTCTGATTACCAAGTGTAAGGATCTAGGATCGAGCTCAGAAAAGAGAATTGTAATTGATTGATTCACCTGGGTACAACATGAGGCTATATATAGTCTCGACATGACGGCTTGGACCAGACGCGAGCGGCACTCCAGCGAATAGAGAAGCTTCTCGCGAACCAGTCGGCAGTAGCGAACGCAGTGGCGAATGCAGCAGCGACGTCAGCAGCAAAAGCGACGACACCGACACTTCACCGAGCAGCAGCGGCAGCAGCTACAGTGAATCTTGAGGCGGCACGTTCGAGGCTACCAGAAACGTTCAATCCGAATGCGAGAGACACCGACGTCCGTCGATTCATTGAGACCCTCAAAATTTAATTCGAGGTCGTTGGCTGTACAACCCCGACACACGATGCCTTGCGGATACGGCTCGCAGCGACACTGTTACGAGGCCCGGCGCTCGAGTTGATTTACAATAGCAACGAGGTCCGAGGCGAGGGGTCATGGACGCAGTTTCGGGCACCTTTAATTAAACGTTGTGAACCAATCAACTGTCAAGTTTATATGCTAGGGTATATCTAGGCTGTAGTGGGGTAGATACTATAGGGTACAACATTTCTAGGTTTTCTACTTGTACCCACCTTTTGCCTAGTCATTCCATTCCTCGTTCTTTCACATGGTATAGAGCAGTTTCCCTAGTGGGAACGTTTCCTAGGGCCCACCACGAAAATCGAATTTTTTTTTTCTGCCCGGAGCGCGCTTCGCTCCTGCCCGAGTCGCGCCCCGTGTGCCTGCCCTCCCGTCGCGTCCCCTTCCCTTAGCGGCCCGTCGCGCCCTCTTACGGCCCCGTAGCGGCCCCTCTCACGGCCCCTTACGGCCCCTTCGCGGCTCCCTTGCGACCCCTCTGCGGCCCCTTGCGGCCCCTTCGCCGCTCTTCGCGGCCCCCTCGCGGCCCCTTCGTGGCCCCTCGCGGCCCCTTCTCGGCCCCGTCGCCGCCCTTCGCGGCCCCTCGCGGCCCCTTCTCGGCCCCGTCGCCGCCCTTCGCGGCCCCCCTTCTCGGCCCCGTCGCCGCCCTTCGCGGCTCCTCACGGCCCCTTCTCGGCCCCGTTGCCGCCCTTCACGGCCCCTTCACGGCCCTTCGTGGCCCCTTCGCCGCCCTTAGCGGCCCCTTCTCGGCTCCTCGGCGACCCCTTCTCGGCTCCTTCACGGCCCTGCCGCCCCGCCGTCACCGCCCCAGCAGCAGCAGCCGCCGCCACCACCGCCGGGGCCACCGCCGCCGCTACCGGGGCCGCAGTCGCCGCCGCCGCCGCCGACAGCAGCAGCCGCCGTCGCCGCTGCCGTGACAGCCGCCGCCGCCGCTGCCGGGGCCGCAGCCGCCGCCGACAGCAGCAGCCGCCGCTGCCGCTACCAGGGCCGCAGCCGCCGCCGCCGCCACCAGGAGCCGCCGCCGCCGTCCCGGCCTTGCTCTGCAGAGAGGAGCGGCACTCCTCTGCCGCCCTGTCGCGGCTCTGTCCCTGCCGGCGCGCGTCGGCCCTGCCCCACCACTTGCGGACCTCTACCCACCCGCCCAAGTAAGAGCACCGCTGAGCCGCGCCTCTGCTACTGAGCTGCTCCTAGTCTGCTGCTACTGCTGCCAGCCTACTACTGCTGCTGTCATGGCTACCCCTAGCGTTCTCACCTTTGATGCTTAGGGTCGGGCTGTCGACTTTGAGGTCTGGGTCGATGATCTGCAGCTTTTCCTGTAGTGCGATAGGAAAGACGGTCTCTCACTGTCCGATCTCACGTCTGGCGCCTCTGCTGCCCTTGCTGCCGATGCTGACAGCACTGTTCGCTCATAGTGGGCCACACGCGATGCTGCTGCCCGTCTTGCTGTGTGTAGTCACGTGCCGTCCACTGAGCGCGCGCACTTTAGTCAGTACAAGAGTGCTAAGACCTTGTACAACGCTGTGGTTGCACGCTACTCTTCCCCTGCCACTGCTGCCCTTAGCCGCCTCATGCTGCCGTACCTGTTCCCTGACCTCGCCGCCTTTCCCACAGTCGCTGACCTCATTACGCACCTTCGCACTAGTGACACCCGCTACCGCGCTGCGCTTCTTGCTGAGTTCTGCGCCAAGAACCCCCCCCCCCCCCCCCCTAAGTACATTACCCTCTACTACATAGTCACCCGGCTCCCTGGCTCCCTTTGCTTGGTCAGGGACCACTTCCTCTCTGTTTGCCCCACCACACTCACCGTTGACCTCCTCGAGGAGCGCCTCCAGGCAGCTGAGAAGAGTATAGTAGCTGTAGGAGCCTCTCGTGGTGACCCTCGTGCCCCCTTCTTTGAGGGGTGCTCCCCCTCCCCCCTGTTGCCCTCTGTTGCCTCTGCTGCTGCCGTCGACTTCGTTGGCACCGAGACGGTCGGCGCTGCGTCTGCCCCTAGCGGGAGACGCCGCACCGGCAAGGGTAAGGGGGGCAAGGGCGCTGGAGGAGCTGGTGGGGGCGGTGGAGGTGGCGGTGGAGGCGGCGGGGTGGGGGTGGTGGTGGGAGTGGTGGCGGGGATGGGGGCTTCGGTGGCGGCGCTGAAGGCGGAGGCGGCGGCGGAGGTGGCGGTGGGAGCGGAGGAGGCGGAGGAGGCGGCGGTGGCGGCGGTGGCGGAGGTGGCGGCGGCGGTGGTGGAGCTGGTCGGGGTGGCTCTACGCAGAGGGGCGGCTTCGGTGGTGGTCAGCGTCAGCAGCAGCAGCGCACTCGTGAGACCCCGCCCCCCCAGCAGCTTCGTAAGTGGTACGCTGCGCGTCAGCGGGGTGGGGGTGCTGGTCCCTGTGCCTACGTCCTGCGTACCGGCGACCGCACTGGTGAGCCGTGCAGTGGCCCGCACACCACCGAGCGCTGCTTCGGCCGCCTGACGGATGCTTGGCGTCTCCAGTTCCTTCACGCCACTGTGATCCCCCGCTGGGGCGAGCTGCTTAGGTCGGGGGTTGCTATCTTTGATATGGATTATGATGTTATTCTTGCTACCATGTATGTTGTGTCTACTAGTGATGAGGGTGACTGTTACCTGTGTGTTCCGCCTGACCCGGGCATTGAGGCTGCTGCTAGGTGCTGGTGAGGCTGCTGCTCTAGGTGCTAGTGCGTCTGCTGCCCCAGGTGCTGGTGAGTCTGCTCTCTCAGGTACCACGTCAGCTCGGGCCTTACACACCTTCACCCTTGACTCGGGTGCTTCTCGCTCCTTCTTTCGAGACCGCACCACACTCACGCCGCTTAGTCGGCCAGTTGCGGTCTCCCTGGGGGACCCCTTTGAGGGTCCTGTCCTTGCCCACTTCTCCACGGTCTTACCATGTCCGGCGGCCCCTTCTGGCACCCTGTCAGGTCTTTACCTCCCCTCGTTCTCTACGAACTTGGTGAGTGGTGCTGATCTACAGGATGAGGGGGTTGACCTGTTCACTCCTGCGAATCAGCAGGTGACCCACTATACGTGTGCTCGGACGGGCCGACACTTGGCCACGTTTACCCATCAGCCGGGGTCGAGCCTATACACACTGAATACTGAGTCTCCTCCGGCTACTGAGTCTGGTCAGGTAGCTGCGTCGGGTCAGGTGTTTACTGCAGCGTCTAGGTCTGGTCCTGAGTCTACACCCTACTCGTGTCGTCTCCTGTCCCACCGGACCCTCCTCTGGCACCACTGCCTTGGTCACCCCTCCCTGCCTCGTCTCCGAGGCATGGCCTCCCGTTACCTTGTCTCTGGTCTTCCCCGGTCCCTCCCTCCCCTCCCTCCAGGGTCTGCCCCTACTTGCGTTCCCTGCATCGAGGGGCGGCAGCGCGCCGCTCCTCACTCCTCCGAGTTTCCTCCGACAGAGGCTCCACTGCAGACACGTCACCTGGACGTGTGGGGCCCCGCCCGCGTCCATGGTCACGGTCACGAGCGTTACTTCCTGTTGGTGGTTGACGACGACTCGCGTTACACCATGGTCTTCCCTTTGTGCAGCAAGGGTGAAGTCACTGAGGTGTTGATCGGCTGGATCCGCGCAACTCGTCTCCAGCTCAGAGAGAGTTTCGGCTCGGACTTTCTTATTCTGCGTCTGCACTCTGACAGAGGCGGAGAGTTTTCCTCCGACCTTCTACGAGCCTTCTGGCGTGCACAGGGTATCCGCCAGACGTTCACGCTTCCGGCCTCTCCACAGCAAAATGGGATTGTTGAGCACCGCATTGGCATGGTCATGGACGTCGCTCGTACGTCCATGATCCATGCGGCTACTCCCCATTTTCTGTGGCCGTTCGCGGTTCAGTACGCGGCGCATCAGATCAACCTTCAGCCCGGGGTCTCCTTGCCGGAGACCTCCCCTACTCTACGGTAGACGGGGAAGGTTGGCGATGCGTCTGCGTTTAGGGTCTGGGGATCTCGGGCTTTTGTTCGCGACTTGTCTGCGGACAAGCTGCCCCCCCCGTGATGTTCCCTGCGTCTTCCTTGGCTTCCCCCCTGACGCGCCTGGTTGGCAGTTTTACCAGCCCACCTCGCGCCGTGTTCTGTCCTCTCAGGACGTCACGTTTGACGAGTCGATTCCTTACTACCGTCTCTTCCCCTCCCGCACTGCGCCCCTCCCCCCGCCGCCGCTCTTCCTTGCGCCAGGTCCCCCCTCGGTAGACCCCCTCCCCCCTCATGTGTGTCCCAGGTAGACGCAGTCGAGCCTGTCGAGGTAGCTGTTGACTCTGGTGCTCCTAGAGGTGCTGAGCCTGCGAGTGCGGGGTCTGGGGGTGCTGAGCCTGGGTGTGCTGAGTCTAGGGGTGCTGAGCCTGGGGGTGCTGAGTCTGGGGGTGCTGAGTCTGGGGGTGCTGAGCCTGGGGGTGCTGAGACTTGGGGTGCGGAGCCTGAGGGTGCTGGGCCTGCTCGTGTGGAGTCTGGCGGTACTGAGTCTGGTGGTCCTTTGGGTGCTTCGTCCCGGCGGGAGCTACTCTCTCCACACGAGCTGCGCGAGTGGTTTGCTCGGCGCTGGAGCCGTGCTGCTGGAGCTGGAGGTGCTGCTAGAGTTGGAGGTTCTACGGGTGCTCAGGGTGCTGGTGCCACGGGTCCCGGAGGTGCTCGTACTGGAGGTACTGGAGCTGCTGGGCCTGGGGGTGATCCTTGTGCTGGAGGTGCTGACGGTGCTGGTGCAGGCGGTGCTTCAAGAGAAGGTGCTCCTGGAGGTGCTGGAGCGGGAGCTGCTGGGGGTGTTGGCGGTGGAGGTGCTACTGGCGCTGGTGCTTCTGAGGGTGCTGGAGTTGGCGGTGCTGCAGCTAGGGGTGCTACTGGTGTTGGTGGTGCCGCTGGGGGTGCTGGTGCTGTCCCTGCTGACTCTAGAGGCGCTACGCGGCCACGGCCGTACTTCGTCCCGCTCCTTGAGCAGGTTCTTCGTCTCCCGCCTTCTGCTGGTCCTGCTCCTTCCTTAGAGTGTCCGCCGCCTGTCCAGTCTGAGTCGCAGTTACTGCCCGCCTCCACATTGCCTGCTCCTTCTCCCTACACTGGTCCTACTAGAGGTCTTGCTGACCGTCGTGAGTCTGCGTCTCGTCTTGCGTTGCCTGTTCGTGCTGCTCGCACTCGTCGTCGTGTTCCTCGTCCGCGTCCTCCTAGGTCCCAGGCACACACTAGATGGCACTGCGTCCTTCCACTGCTCCACTGCGTGTCACTTTGCCGTCTCCTCCAGAGTCCTCTCTTCCTGCTCTTGCTGACCCAGAGATTGACTCCCTTCGTGCTGCCAATCCTACTGTCACGCGTCTCCTGGCTACTGCTGTCACTGACCCTTCCTTTGAGTCCACTGCTGCGTCTGCCTTAAAAGCTGAGCTTGTCGACTTTGCTGCTCACTGTTGTCTAGACTACGCTGCTAGTCTTGTTGCTGAGTCTGAGTCTGTCTGTCCTCCGTCCGTCGGGGGTGAGTGTGCTCTTAGCACTGACGTCCTTTAGGACAAGCAGGAGGAGTTCCAGTGTTTTGCTGCTGCTTTGCCTCATCTCGTGTCCATGCTGATTGCCCCTGAGGGAGACCCGGATGCACCAGACATCCCGACTCCGCGCTCTTACGCAGAGGCGATAGAGGGTCCCTACTCCTCTCAGTGGCAATCAGCAGGCAGAGATGGCTTTGTGGAAGTCCACAGGCACCTACGTGGACGAGGTTCCCCCACCTGGTGCGAACATCATCAGTGGCATGTGGATTTTCAGGGTGAAGCAGCCGCTGGGTTCTCCGCCTGTCTTCAAGGCACGTTACGTGGCTCGAGGTTTCAGTCAGCGGCAGGGAGTTGACTACTTTCAGACCTTCTCTCCCACCCTGAAGATGACCACTCTTCGGGTGCTGCTGCACATAGCTGCTCAACGCGACTACGAGCTTCACTCTCTTGACTTCAGCACTGCTTTCTTGCAGGGCAGCCTGCACGAGGAGATCTGGCTGCGCCGCCCTCCTGGCTTCACTGGGTCGTTTCCTCCTGGTACCCAGTGGAGCCTCCGGCAGCCAGTCTACGGTCTCCGCAAGGCGCCCCGTGAGTGGCATGACACACTGAGGACTACACTTGCGGCTCTTGGGTTTGCTCCTTCTACTGCCGACCCGTCGCTGTTTCTACGCACCGACACCTCTTTGCCGCCGTTCTACATCCTCGTGTACGCTGAGGACTTGGTCTTTGCTACTGCTGACACTGCTGGACTCGCCCACGTGAAGTCCGAGCTGCAGAAGAGACACACGTGCACAGACCGGGGTGAACTGCGCAGCTACCTTAGCTTGCAGATCACCCGGGACAGAGCACAGCGCACCATTACCCTGACTCAGTCACACATGGTGCAGCAGGTCCTTCAGCGCTTTGACTTCACGTACTCCTCGCCTCAGGCCACTCCTCTGTCTACTCGCCACTCGCTCTCAGCTTTGCCTTCGGATGAGTCCGTAGAGCCGAGTGGCCCGTACCCAGAGCTTGTTGGCTGCCTCATGTACCTGATGACCTGCACTGGACCTGACCTTGCATACCCTCTTAGCATCTTGGCACGCTATGTTGCTCCTAGGAGACACTTGTTGCAGCGAAGAGGGTGTTGCGCTACTTGTGCAGTACGTTGGGCATGGGGCTCGTGCTTGGAGGGCGGCGTTCAGTGGTCCTCACTGGTCACGCAGACGCTTCTTGGGCTGACGACCAGGCTACGCAGCGGTCGTCACAGGGTTACACCTTCAACCTTGGTTCCGGCTCTGTTTCGTGGCGGTCTACCCGCTCGTCTTCTGTTCTCGGCTCCAGCTGTGAGGCTGAGTTCTACGCGGGGGCCATGGCTGGACAGGAGCTACGCTGGCTCACCTACCTGCTGACTGACCTAGGAGAGCCGCCTCGTTCTCCTCCAGTTCTGTACGTAGACAACAAGGCCATGTTGGCCTTGTGTTAGGAGCACAGACTAGAGCACAGAACGAAGCACATTGCTCTTCGCTACTTCCTTGCCCGTGAGCTGCAGCAGCGTGGTGAGCTGCGCCTTGCTTACGTGGCCTCTAGGGCCAACACTGCTGATATCTTTACCAAGGCACTTCAGCCTTGTGATCATCAGCGCTTTTGTACGGTGCTAGGTCTTGTGCCTACTATGCCTCACTTGCTCACTTCTTGACCTTGCTTGTACTGTGATCTGTCTATACCTGCACTTGCTTGTTTACCTTTAAATATAATCTTGCATGTGAACTGGCCTTGTGGCCTTGAACTTGTTCTCGGAATGTGTGGTGACGTTGTGATCCACCCTGAGCTTGCTGTGCCTTGCTTGACTGGTCTTGTGACCTCTTCTTCTCCCCCACTTTGCCTATGGGGGTGTGTCAAGTTTATATGCTATGGTATATCTAGGCTGTAGTGGGGTAGATACTATAGGGTACAACATTTCTAGGTTTTCTACTTGTACCCACCTTTTGCCTAGTCATTCCATTCCTTGTTCTTTCACATCAACTCCAGCTACATGGCGCGGCAGCAGATTCATCGGCACAAACAGTATGGCAACGTAATTCAGTACACGCAGCAGATCGAGAGCCTCTTCAATCAGATTACCCACCTGACCGAAGGGGAAAAAATCCAAGAGAGAATGGATACGATTTCACTAGCTTTTCAGGTATACGCTTGGATTTTTTCCACCTCTCATCCACCCTTGGATCCGCCCATCCACCTCTCCCTACGGTGCGCAAGTTTTCTTCACTCTAAAACCAGACGACAGTTTTTGGATGTGCATCGACTACGGCGCACTGAACAAATAGACAGTTAAAAACAAATACCCCATACCGCGCATCGACGACCTTCTGGATCAACTGCGTGGCGCAACAGACTTTTCGAAGCTGGACCTACGGTCGGGTTACTGGCAGATCAAGATGGCGGACAGCTTGATCCACAAGACGGCATTCCGTATCAGATACGGCTCCTACGAATACTTGGTGATGCCGTACAGACTCTGCAACGCACCAGCAACGTTTTAGGCGGAGATGAATCATATCCTTTCACCCCTACTAGACGAGTGCGTGGTGGTGTACCTGGACGAGATTCTCATCTACTCCAAGAACATGAAGGAGCACGTGGAGCATCTACGGAAGGTGTTCGAGATCATGCAGAAGAACAAATTCTATGTGAAGCTGTCGAAGAGCGACTTCGCCCTGAAGAAGGTGAGTGCCGAGGGCGTACACGTGGACCCATGAAAGATCGAAGCCGTCAAGAAGTGGAAAGTACAGGAGAACGTGAAGGAGTTGCAGCAGCTCCTAGGCTTTGCCAACTACTACAACAGGTTCGTGCCGTAGTACGCTAAGATAGCAGCGCCACTGACCGACCTACTGAAAAAGGATACGCCCTACAAATGGGATACTCCTCATCACCAAGCCATGGAGCAGCTACAGAGAGCACTGACCACAGCCCCAGTACTCATCTTACCGGATCTAGACAAGGACTACGTGGTGGAAGCAGACACTAGTGACCAAGCAGTCGGAGCAGTACTGATGCAGGATCACGGACACGGTTTGCAGCCCATCGCCTACCTCAGTAAGAAGCTACACGGAGCAGAACCGAACTACTCCATCCATGACAAGGAAGTCTTAGTGATTGTCATAGCCTTCAAGGCGTGGAGGTGTTACCTAGAGGGAGCCAAGACTACAGTCTTTACTGGCCACTGCAGTCTCAAATATCTAAAGTCGTAGCCGACACTCTCGCGACGATAGGTGCGGTGGGTGGACGTCATGGAAACTCACTCCCACTACGACATCGTCTACAAGCCCGGACTACACAACAAAGTAGACACGTTGAGCCGCCTCGGTCATGAAGCAGGCATCGAGCTCAACGGGATGAACCCTCTCCTCAAGGGTCTATTCTAGCATGGGTTCTCTATGGACGCAGAGATCGCTACAGCAGAGAAACAGAAGTTGTTACAGTGGGAGAAAGACTTAGCTGTAAGGAAGGGCACAGGAAAGATTTGTGTATCGAACTATGCCCCGCTCTGACAGATTCTACTGGAGGAGTTTCATGACGTACCATACGCGGGACATTTCGGGAGCAACAAGACGTTAGCAGGGATAGCGAAATATTATTACTGGCCCGGGATGGCAGCAGACGTGCAACAGTTCGTCACCTTATGCGATACATGCTAGCGGATGAGGAGTAGCAAGCGGAAAAAGGAAGGGTTACTTCAGCCTCTACCCGTGCCGGAGCAGTCATGGCAGGTGGTTAGCCTCGACTTCATCACGGGATTTCCTTTGACCTCACGAGGGTATGACGCTATACTCATGGTGATCGACAAGTTCTCTAAAATGGGTAACTTCATTCCAACCAACACCACGGCTACAGCTGAAGCAACCGCTCGCCTCTTCTTCGACCGCATCTTTACCATCTACGGCATCCCCGCTACACTCATCTCAGACAGAGACCCCAAGTTCACGAGTAAGTTCTGAAAGGAGCTCATGGGATTATTGGGGACTAAACTTGCGATGTCCTTAGCATACCACCCACAGACTGACGGACGGACCGAGCGACTCAATGAGGTGGTTGAAAAGTTACTGCGCACAGCTTGCAAAGACGATGTCAGCCACTGGGATACACAGCTACCGACCCTAGAGTTCGCTTACAACAACGCGTCACATGCGGCCACACGGAAATCTCCTTTCTTCCAGTGTTACGGACGGGAACCACTTACACCGCAACACCCAACCACACCGGCACACGTCCAAGCCGCACATGACTTTGTCACCACCATGCAGCAGCTATGGGAGAAGACCCAGCGACGTCTCATCATGATGCAGACCTCCCAGAAGCAGTATGCCGATCGTCTGCGACGTGATCACTCAGTAGCAGTCGCAGAACATGTGCTTCTCGACACGCGCAACTTGAACCTGTCTCACCTACCGTCCAAGCTCCGGCCTCGCTTCTGTGATCCTTTTCTTGTTGAGGCACAGGTGACACCAGTAACATTCTGCTTGCGCTTACCTGATACATGGAAGCTTCACAATGCTTTCCATGTTCAGCTACCGAAGCCCTACAAGGACCCCAACCAACAGTTCCAGGGACGGCAGCTACCGCCACCACCACCTGTTTTCGTACATGATGAACCCGAGTATGAAGTGGAGCGCGTTCTCACTCATCGACGCCGCGGCGGCAAGACCCTCGAGTTCCTGATACGCTGGAAGGGATACAACCCCACTGAGGACAGTTCGGTTGCAGAAGCTGCTATGGCCAACGCAGGCCGTGCTCTAAAGGACTATCTTGTCAAGCAGGGTATTTCTTATGCCACGAAGCTTTGAGGGGGGGACGTGTGAGAGTACGACGACTTATGATGGCTTTGCTAGCTTGCCTATACTTTCTTATGCTATTACTAGCTTGGGTTTTACTTATCAGGCATAGATATGCTTGATTTCCTACGTTAGGTGCATTCCTATATTTTATTATAGTTATAGCACCGAACCAGGTTACGTGTACCGAACTCAAGCCTATTTGGTTTCCACCGAATTGCTTTCTACTGAGTTCGGGAAGGCTCTGTTCGGGACGCTTTGCGACCCTCACAACATTCGCGTAACACTTGGGTAACTGGCCTTGTGTCGAGACTATAAATAGCCTCGTGTTGTACCCAGGTGAATCATTCAATTCAAACTCTCTTTTCTGAGCTCGATCCTAGATCCTCACACTCCTGGTCGACGGCCCACCCGTCGCCCAGTCCAATCAGTTGCAGCTGTCGAGCTCTTTGGTCGGCAGCAACACCACAGCAGTCCCCTGCAGCTTGACGAAGCCTGTCGAGCAGCTCTCCCACTGTGAACGGTCGGCTGCTTCTCCCGTACATCCGACCAAGTCGTCGGCGTTACCCAAGCGAGGGCGGATGTGATGAGTTGTAGGGTGTGCAGGTAAAACGAATAACGAGACTGTGATTGAATGAACTGAGAATACAATGAATGCACAGACTAATGTAGGGCTAGCCTAGCTAGGAGGAAACCTCGGACGAGCGAGGTTGGGTGCAGGTTTGGCGATGGAAATGCCGAAGGCGACGCGAGGAGCCTCGGCAGCGTTGAAATCGGCCGAACGTGCGAACTCCGAAAATCGGGTTGTACGCGAAGCAGTCAACCCCGATAAGGAATTCGGGAAAATTCCTTACACCACCCCCCCCCCCCCCCCCCCCCCCCTTAAGAAAGGCGGTCAATATCTGAAACACACCTTCGCGCCAGATAAACACCAACAAGTGGCGAGGCGTCGAGCGAGGCGGATGGCACCCACGTGTCGTCCTCACTGGTGTGGTCAGTCCAACGAATTAAGAAATCCACGTGTCGGCCAGCTGCGTCAAGGCGGACTCGATGAGCGAGGATTTTGGAAGGGTCAAGGGTCGACTCCGGGACAGGTCGTGCCGTCGTTGCAGCGTGCTGACGTGCGATGTCGGTCGTTGCTGGCACAAACTTTTGAAGAAGGCTGACGTGGAAGGCGTCATGAATGCGCTATCAGAACATTATAGCTTATATATTTGTGTAGGCTATAGTGGGGTATCCCATAGGGGGTACAACCCAATCAGGGTTTCCTATATGTACTCACTTCATTCATAGTTCATTCATTCTCGTTCTAGTTTCTTTCACATGGTTTCAGAGCGGTTACGCTCTCGGCCTGTGGGTACTACTGCTTCCGCTGCTACATGCTCTGTCGCACGCCCCGCGGCGATTAGCACTTTGGCGCGCGCCTCGGGGCGCGCGGCCTCTTTCGTTTCTGGCGCGCCGCCCGTCCCGGCCCCTAGCCGCCCGCGCGCCGCTCGTCCCAGCCCCTAACCGTACGTGCGCCGCCCGTCCTGGCCCTTAGACGCCCGCGCGCCGCCTGTCCCGGTCCTTAGACGCCCACGCGACGCCCGTCCTAGCCCTTAGCCGCCCGTCCCGGCCCTTAGACGCCCGCGCGCCGCCCGTCCTGGCCCCTAGC